ATCACCTTAAACCTCATTTGGAAGCTATTCCTTTTTTCTTAAATATAAACCAACCTTAACTGAGCCAAATAAGATCTGCATTTCTTTACTCATCTCGTATCCTAGAGAAAAGGACATAAGTACACTCTGTTTGGTTGACATACATTTATTTATGTTAAAGACTAAAAGATATGTACCATTCATTAAAAAAAAATAAAAAAAAAATATCCTCAGTCATTATATGGTAGCATGATTTAATAAGACTGAAAGTAAAAACAAACAAAGACAAAAAAAAAAAAAGAATTTAAAAAATCTTACCATGATAAGGGAAAGGGTAGTATAATTATCATCACCATCTAGCACTGAGAGAATGAAACCCAGCAGGATGTGATTTGTAAATGAAACCAGGTGTTTCAAGGCCAGGTGTAAAACCAGGTCATCATGAACGGTGAGTGCTTGGTGAGAGGGCAGATAGAAGAACCTAAAAATGTCACAAGAAAGACTTCACGGAGTCACAGAGAAGCAGATGAGGTAAGACAAGCTAAGATCACATATTACAATGTGATTCTATCTAAAAAGGAATGGCTCATTTTAGATAGAAAGGATGTTTAATTCTCTTAATGTTTAATGTTAATCTTTAATTCTCTTAATTTAATTTCTTTAGGTTAAAATGTAATTATTTCTTATTTTACTGTAGGCTCATTCATATCTGCAAATGATGTGGAGGGGATTCATGGAAGCAGTTATTTCAGATATTTGATTTCAAGTATCTTTGTAAGAATGAGTCATTTGTTTACAATCACTGCCTATTGATAAAAAAAAAAAACATTTTACAACACTAATTTGATTTCATTCTTTGTTACTTCATCCATCAGGCGGTCCACCTGTCCATCAATCTACACCTTTATTTTTAATTTGAGCAATTATAGCAAGATAAAAGAAATGTTACATTTAAAAGAAACTCTTGTCAGGTTTAAAATCCATCTAGCTGAAGATAAATTTTCAAGCTCAATTCAACCCATCCTTCCATCAATCTTCTGCCAATCGAAGGTTAGGTCATTGGGGTAACGGGTCCAAGGGTAAAAGAAAAAAAACACCATCACCTCATGATACACTGTTCGACATTATAGAATATACCTAAATATTTAAATGCTAGGAAGGAGATATATGGTCCTCATAATGATGTCCGAGTCTTTACAGTCTCTT